TACAAAACCCCAAAACCCCAGAAGCCTGAACCTCAAACCCCAAAACCCAAAACCCCAAACCCTAAAACCTAAAAACTCTAAATCATAAACCCTAATTAACATAACTATTATTTTACTTACAAGAAAAACTACATCATGCTTCATGTAACACTTATCATAATACGATGGATGGTCATGCTTTAACCTATGGTGGGATTTTAATCCATATGACATACTTTATCCATCATACATTTAGTTAAACATTCATTCATAACACATAATAATTAATTAGCTGAATTGGAGCGAATTTTGGCATCCTAAGAAAGCAAAATTAAAAAAATAAAAATAAAAAATGCCCGAAATAGCTCGAACGCCTTGGAACAACCAATGAAAGTTTCACGATGCTGCTGCAGCATACTTTAGCACACACGACACCATGGCGCTTCGTCGTCTTCTTCGTTTTTTTCTGGAAAAAAAACGTCTAATTCGTCGCCACGAACACCTTTCGATCGACCCGGACTTACAAACTCGATACATAAACAAATGCCCAAAACAAGGGGCCCTTACATGATTAAAATCAAGCAAAATTGCAATTCTAAATGCCAAAATTCGAAAACGCCCAATTTGCAAACCCACATTCATAATGCATTGAAAACCCCACCAAAAGATGTGTAAATTTTAACAGAAAATTCTGAACGAAAAACTGCGCTCTTATACCAATTGAAAGGATGTGAATCCCAGAGTAGAAGCAGTAGAATGTGTTCTTGAATTTCTTTTGAAATTTAAAACACAGAAAAAATATAAAACAGAGAAGAATGTTGGATTTTACCTTTGAAGACTCTTCTTCGTGTAGACCAATGAGAGAACACCACTTGATCTTACCCTTTAAGCTGGTCGTTTAGAGAACACCTGGGAACCAACCTGGGAGTTGAATTAGTCAATATTTTATAAAAGCATACAATAATGTTTTAGCTTATTAAATCGTTTCATAAACTAAAAACATTAGTGTAAAACTATCCAATACAAACAAGTTGTATTGGCAAATGACTTTATTCATCATTGATATATGAACAAGATAACACCATCAATTTTAAAATTACTTTTTAAAAGTATATATATTTTTTTCAAAGATTTTAAAAAATAAATTAACAAAGCTTTCTTGTATTCAAAATTTTCACCTCTTTCAATTTTATGAATTCATCGAATTAGTTTCAAATTAATTTTATTTCTTTAAATATTATTTAACTAGTAAAGCACAATAACTTTTAGAATTTCATTATTAGTTATAATTAAAGATAAAATTATAATATTTTATAATTAATTTAGGAATAAATCAAAAAAATTTATATTCAAACCTTTCGCCTTCTTTTTATTGTTAATCTTATAAATGTATTAAAATTATTAATTTCGATGTGTATTTCTATTTCTATTTTAAATTTTATTTAATTATTAAATGTAAAAAAATGAAATATCATAAATTTTAAAAGTCAATATTTTGAATAAATAACATGTTTATTTGGTAATGATAATTTGATGAATGTATCTAATTATTAGTTTCAATATATTTGTATATTTCTATTTTTTAAAATATTGTTTAACTATTAAAACACTATAAATTTTTGAATTCCATTATTATTTATAATTAGAGATAAAGTCGTACATTTTAAAATTAAATTTTAGAAATAAATTGATATAAATTTTATATTCGAACATTCCACTCATTGTTAATTTCATGAATGTACTTAAATTATTAGTTTTGATGTGTATTTATACTTTTATTTTAAATTTTATTTAATTATTAAAATTGAAAAAAATGAAAAATCATAAACTACTATTTTGAATGAATAACACAGAATGATTTATTTGGTTTAAAATCAAATGTGTATTGAATGAAAATAAATGGTAAAAAGTTTATTTGGGTACGTAATTTATACCTGGTATGTGAGTGAGACATGTCCCTACTACCTATGGATGTAATAGATAAGCCCACTGCAAAATATTGGTCAAAAAGAGCTTATTTTACCAGCATAACCCTTTCAATTCCATATTTCCATTGTAATAAATAAGATTCTTAATGTTGTAGAGAAAAGTTGAATATGTGCCGTTAATTTTATCGTTCATTCTAGCGAATCCAATTGGTTTAGAAAGTTATGAGATGATTCAAGTCACTAATGCTAGTTATTAAAGCTGAGTAAGCAATTAAGCAATTGGGGATGGCTATATAAAGACTACTAAATAATGTTTTTAAAGACCACAAGCATAATGTATTCAAACTAACAACCACATATTTGCTCACTATAATCACGTGACACGAAGAATTAGATCCAAAATAATGTCATAGTGTTCAAAATGTTGATGTCGATGAAAATGTCGAGGTCCCGATTTTACGGACATGTTGATGAACATGTCGATGTCGATGGATATTTCGAAAAAAATAATGGAAATTGTGAAAATTAATGAAAATTTTTTGAATTAGCAAATAAAACTTGAATTGTAGCTTAATTAGCCTATAATTGATAAGAATATGACCATTTTACTTATGAAAATGTCGATGTCAATAAAAATATCGAAAAAAGATTTTTTCATTTAATGAAGATTGATAGAAATTATTTGAATATGTAAAGTAAACTAATTTAATTGTAAACTCCTGACTACTTCTTTAGTGTTTTTCATAATAGGATTCCACATTTTTCAAACACATTTTATCATCAATCCAACTTTCCAATCAAATTTACACAATTTTCAAACACTTCAACCTCGTGATTGTGTCATTTATCCAAATTATCTACCAATGGGATTCATATGTGCTTCATATTCTACTCATTTGAGCAACTACCTTCAAAACTTTCAGTCTATGATGACCGAGGAGAACTATTATAATTTATATCAAATTTATCAAGATAGTGCACTAGATCCTCCGAGATCATCTTTTTGATATTAATTAAATTACCTATTCTACTTCATGTTTCACCACTATTTGTATATAATAATATTTATTTTTAAAAAATTCTAAGATTATTTCAATATTTATATATGTCAATATTTCACATATATTGTTCAATGGTATAAATAAGGACCAGATTGGATTAGAAGTTATCAATAAAACAAATTCCAAATCTTATTAGTTATACTTATTAAAATTCGAATGTTTCATTGAACAGACTAAGATTACAATCATCAAGGTTGTAAGAAATTATAGACTGTAGTGACATAGTAAGAAGAGGATGAAAATAAAATAACCTTAAAGAAGAAGAGGAAAAAAAAAAGACATTTCGACATGTCCACGACATAGGGAGAAAATCGACACGTCGACATGTCCATGTCTCTCGACATTTTGAACCCTTAATCTGCCAAAGCGAGCATATCTTGGTGATAATGACGGACATGTTCGATGTTCGATACCAGTTCAATCGACCATGGGCTGATATGATTCACATCCTGCATCAAATCTGGCTCACCCATGGCACTTAAGCATTAGGCTTTACTATATAATTCAAGAATAGGATAATGCTAATAATCCTACTTTAGCAATGAACCTTCAAAATAAAAGACCAATCTTTCGATACCAGTTCAATCAAGAAATGACACTTTTTTTTTGTTTGATAGTAATCAAGAAATGACAATTTAAAAGTTCTATAAGTCACACTACTTTAAGGCTAAGAAATTATGTCTAGCATTCAAGTAAAACAATTCCTTCAGCAACAACGAAAGCAAAATGCAAATGATTAGTAGTTAAATCACAATTAAAATACGAGAATAATGATGGAGGCAGTATTATTTCATCAAAAATCAAACCTGAAGCAATCTTGTTTATATAGTGAAATCCCATCTAACCTATATTATGATAAATATTTTGGGACATATTTAATAAGAAACCAAATGAAGATGAGGTAGACCGAGTAAATCCTCATAAGAGTATTATTACTCATGAGTACCTAGAAATATTTCAAGCTCACGATGAATAAATGAAACTAGATACAATCAAATCTTCAGTGTTAAAAGCAGCTTCCTTGGGTGAATAAATGCTCTGTAATGGTAGAGTCCATAGTGGATGAACTTTTAGAGAAAATTGATTGAAAAATAGAGGAGGATAATACCTGGAGAATGCGACATGGAGAATTAGACCAGTGGATAAGATCAACAATTTGAACAGAAGAAATGGTGCCCATGAACGAACTAATCCGAGAAGAATCCTCGATCTCAAATGGCATCTTGAACTTCGTACCAAAGTACCACTAAGAGCCTTATGTCTGCTCACACCAATGAGGCTTTCACACAGAACTCTAGCGTTATCGTACGTGCTTAATAATCTACTCGTACCAATGAAGTCTTCACACAGAACTCTGAAGTTTTCGCACATGCTTAATAAACCACCAAACGCCTGTCCATACGCCGTCAGTACCGCCGCTTTAATTACTGATTTCGGCCTCACTTTCTCTTTTCACCTTAAATTCCCACCTCCACTGAAACTCAAAAAACCGTTTCCACACACACTTAATGGTACATCTACTGACCACTATTAAGGCAATGTTCTTATTGTAGAAAATAAAGTTAGCATCCATGTTTGCGATCGTTTATCATAATACTAGTTTAGTGGCACAAATTAAAATGCACAAGGCTACTTCCATTCTGTAGGTAATTAGTTACAATTTTTTCCGTACTGATTATTTAGATTCAACAATTGGCAGAGTCTAAACATTACACAAAACAGGAATTGCAATTTATAGTAAAAATGTAATCAGTATCCAGGAGAAGTGATATCGTATGAGAATGTCATCTATGCTTCTCCAACGTAAAATTGATCTGCCAACCTAAAATTGATAAAACCAAGGTCGGTCCTCAACATCCTACAGATACCAAAATTCAGCAAACCCAGCATAACTATTGTCCATATATGCATCCCAACCTGCTCGCTTATTGATTTTTCCTTCCAATAATAGAGTATTTGGTGACAATCGTACGACTAACTCCAAATATTTGCTTCTTCAGAAAAGATAGTACTTGTGATTTGATTTCCCGAAAGTTCATATGCACGGACACTTTTAGGAACCCAGGCCAAACCAAAAATATATATATGAGTGATTACCTGCAATATACTGCCAACCATTAGTACCCAATCAAATAGATTCATTACGTTTAACTATTCCAACTAGCAAGTCAGACACATCTAACTGGAAATTATCCTGATGCATTCTACTTGGTATTTTGGAATTTCAGCTTCGCCACATTAAAACACCGTGGGATCGGTTTACAGCTTCAAATAGCTATGGGTCTTTTTCATCAATGCTCATTGTTACTGTATTTGCATCCCAAAGCGCACACCACAAGCCACAGAACATCTATCTTGTATTGCATGTATGATTGATGTCAATTCAACAAAATTGAAGTGCCCTCGGCGTTTTCTTACTTGTATGGGGCAAATATGATTGATGAATTATGGCCGCCAAACCCGAAGGAATTAGACAATGCTGCCTTGATATCAAATCTCTCTTTCTTTGGGCCCACTAGCACTTTCATGTCCTGTATTGTAATACCATATGCAACAAAATTTAATGCTGTTTCAGGGGTGATAGATATTTGATTTTGTAATGCATGACATTTTCACCAACAGGGTCGGGATGCCAAGGGAATCACAAGTTGACCATTACGGCAACGTACCACGCCTTCGTCTGGGTTTTCAAGGTTGATATTTGGATGTATCCAGCCTGTCCGAATAGCCTAATGACAGAACACAGCAACTTATTAACTACACAAAGGTTCGTGAGAAATAAATTCAAAAAGAAAGGAGAGGACACAGACGCACATTAACACCAGGGTTTATACTCTAAAAAAGAGGAATCTTCCAAGCAACTCAACAACTTTTTTTTGGAAGTAATTATATGACACTAGTAGAAGAGAACAATTTTATGCATTACAGCTTCAGACTTAAAAAATAATGCCACACCACCATAGGTCTTCTCACCTGTATCGCTGCAACTGCTTCCACTGCACCTGCAGCTCCAAGTAGGTGGCCAATCATAGATTTTGTGGAGTTCACCCTAAGCTGGCAAATCATGAATCTTATATTAGCATATTTACATGGTAAGATGAGAAACAGCTGTACAAAATTAGAATTATCAAGCCACCTCAGGGTTATTGCCAAAACAATGAAGAAGAGCTTGATACTCTTTGAGGTCACCAGCAGGTGTTGATGTTGCATGTGCATTTATATAATTAATGTCTTCCCTTGACACTCCTGACTGAGCCAACGCCTTTTCTATGCAAAGTATGACACCAGCCCCTGAGTTATATGGAAATGAAGGCAACGGAATGTTAGTTCCAGTGATTTCCACGATAAATTGTAGGACATGTTACATGTAACACAGTCAGGATCCTTTAGTTAAAGGGGGTTACCATCAGGGCGTGGCTCTGTCATGTGAAAAGCATCACAAGTTAAACTTCCACCAAGAAATTCTGCATATATTTGTGCACCTCTTTTCTGAAAATTTGAGGTCAGATGACTGAATCAGTTAGTGAAAGAATAGCCATGAGTTCCAGAGAAATAAAACTATATATTTTTTGTTTTTAAGCAAGAAAAATAATCAAAAGACAGTTTTGAACAAATTTATAAAGTTATGGACGGGAAAAAGTGAAAGCATCCAGCATTGAGGATCAAGGTAGACCATGTTCAAGGAGCAACGAACATATCAACATACCAAGGTTCAAGAATCAAGGTACTAGCTAGTGAATGTAGTTTTAGAATGAATGGCAGAAGAAACAGAGTTAGAAACCGAAAATTAAGTGTGTGATATTAGATAGATTGAGCATACCTTTGCATGTTCTAGCTCTTCTAAAAGCAACACGCCAGCACCTTCGCCCATTACAAATCCATCCCTACTCTGCAATCATGACATAAACCACACCTTAAAATAAACAACAGACATGATCTGCTGATGAGACAAATTACAGCACAAATGTTTTTAAAAATTTTACTTTCCAATGTACAGTTTATATGACGAAAGCAACAAGCCCATAAACAATTTGAATACACAAAAATTTAAATCCCAACCCTCTTTCACTGCAAAGAGGGGTGGAGAGAGGCCATATTTCGTGAACAAAAAAGTTCACTAATGAGCTTAATTTCAACACTAACGTTTCTTTAAAATAAATCTACATTCAAAAATACAAACTCATCAAAATTTTATTACACAGACTCAATCCCTATCCTGTTCACCAGACACAATAAGGAATTAGCTATCATTTTGGAGAGCGTACATATAAGGCCGGGAGCTAGAAATAAGAAAAGTAATAATCAATGGTAAAGCGATTATTGGCAACTTTACAATGTCCCAGGGGCGTGAAGCTTTAGTAGGATCATTGTTCCTCTGTGAAAGTGCCCTGCAAGCAACAAAGCCTCCCAAGCCTGCTTCCCAACAATAGTTATGAGTAGAAGGCAATAAAACCCAATATTGTTTAAAGAAATCTCAGATGAACTGAATGGGAAAGGAAATAAATACCTATGGGTATAATTGCTGCATCTGAACCACCACAAAGCATTACATCCTGCATAAAATTTGCAGATATATGAGCATAAAAATAGCATTCCATATTAACAACAAACATCTTTTTTTTTTATATTTGTGAGTGTCTAAGCCGGTTAATGTGCACCTCAAGTAGTCTCACGGGACAACCGCTTGACTCTACTACATTTGGTTGTCAAGGAAACACGTTGGATATTAAATTCTAAGTAGGTGGCCACCATGGGGCTTGATTCTTTTTTAATTTTCTTGACCCCTTTAGACCAATAGGCCAACCCATAATGGTAACAATGGGCAAGAATTATCATTAAACTTTTTTTTTTTCCTTTTTCCATTCACACTTCATCATCATGATAGTTACAGAGATGAGGACAAATCTAGAAATCCTGAAATTTTGACAAAAGATATCAGATATGTGATTAACTTTAGTTGAATTGTCCATTAATTCAGGAGAAGAAATAACTGACAAGAAAGTAACCTCTGCTAAGCCTATCTGTGAAGAAGCACTAAAATATAAGCACTTACAGCATCACCTCTACTAATATGATCTGCTGCATTCAATATACAAAAATTGCTTGTAGCACAGGCAGTGGAAATTGAATAGTTTGGACCCATCCATCCCTGAAGCTCAATGAGAAAATAAAATGTAGAAGTTAAAGGAGTTAACAAATCAAATTTCATTAAGATTGATTGTCATATTCCAGTATCTGAATAATCAATCAGACTAACCAAGTCCATTGCAAGCATGGCAGAACCCATATTTGTGGTCGCAAAGGGTACACAGAAAGGATTCATCTTCCTATATGAAATCCGTAAAGCCTCAATTGCATCATAAAAAACCTGTCCAGCAGTTAAAACGGAAAATCAAGTGCATCAATCACTGAGTATGAATCACCTGAGTGGTGCATCCACTCATGTTGTACAGCAACTTTCCTCAGTTTTTTCTATAGAAAACATAATTTCATATGAAGTAGGAAGTCAAAAAAGAAAGACCAAGCAACCAGAGGACCAGCCTACATGAAACTGAAAAGTTTGCAATTTGATAGAATGAGGAAGAGAGAGATAAAGAGACGAAGTAATAATTTCCTTCATCACGATGCCATAATGAGGAATGCTACTTAAACTTGTTCCAAATTTCCTTTAAAGAAAGCCATAACCAAACTTGTTAAAATAATCTTTCATTTGTGTCATTGTTAAGCATCTAAATTCTCGTATCTTAACATTGTGCAGAAATCATTCAAAACCTAGCAGCTTAGTTTCAGTTTTCCCGACGTACTTCCATTTTTTGGGATGGATTTTGTCTTGGTCCTTGGAAGTTAAAAGCTACTATAAATGATATTAAACTTTAAATTCTAAACTCTAAACATTTAACTGAGGTCAAGCCACTGTTACATTAGAACAATCCAGTGCAAGGATTAATATCGTAATCTGAATAGGACACTTCCAATTTTTGGGATGGATTGTCACACTGCATGAATTTACAGTACACTCAACATAGTACATTCAAGCTCAATTAACCATTCATTCAAGGTTACCTTCATGCCACCCATTGCCGAACCAATCAACACTCCACATTTAGCTTTATTTAACTCATTCATCACATCTTCTGTAATTCCTCCGTCTGCAAGGGCTTTCTTGCCAGCAGTAAGCAAGTAAAGCATGAACTTGTCCACCCTCTTAGAAAGTTTTGGAGCAACCCATCCATCAGTTGAAAAGGATTTTATCTCTCCAGCAATTCTCTGAGAAAATTGAAAATAGAGGTGAACAGAAAGGAAAGCGGCATCTGGGAAGAGCAAGGTATATCTACCGTGGGAAATTGGGCACAATCAAATGCCTCGATCGCAGTTATGCCACTGATACCCTCGAGCAAATTATTATAGAAGATATCTGGATCGTGACCAAGTGGAGTCACCACACCCATTCCTGTGACAACTATTCGCCTTTGCCTGGTACGAAGTTTCTTTTCAATTGTTATTTCCTCGGCAGGTTGTACAGCTATGGCCATGGCCTCGCCTAAAGTTTTAAAAGACCATAGGACGTGCGCTTGCGTCAGTCATTATTCATGCCCTTTTGCATCTCAAAAACAAGAAACTTCAGAACTTCTATACTGCAATCAAGCAGCATCAGCGTAGGCAATCCAGACTTTAGAACCATATAGTTTGAATCTAATGGAATTATATCTAATGAATTCGATGATACAGATTAAATTGTGGGGGTGGGGAAGGCAATATAACAGACTTCTGAAAGCAAATAATAGTAATAACTTTGATACGAAAATTTAATCATTCGTACCCGAATGGGCATTCCTACGGTTCGGCCTGGGATTTGCAGGAACACTTTTCGATCCAGATAGTAAGTAAAATCCGCTGGCGTCAAAGAAGCGACAAGGATAAAGGACCTTGGAGCTGTAAGGCTCGTCGCAGGGCCCGAAAGAAATGTAGGAGCTCGTAAGGCCCTGCATCCTGGATCCGCAGGACGACAGAATTGCTCCACTGTGACTTTGAAAGTTTCTACTGCTGCATTTTGATAAAAACCTTCGTCTTCGAGCACATTTGTTGAGAACCTTTGAAGAACAGAGCATCGAGGGATCGGTGGACTGATTTCTTCCGCAGTTTACAGACATGCAAGCGGCCACAAGCCATGTGCAGAGAGGAGATACAGCAGCGGAGGCGGCCATGGAAAGGATGACCCAGAGGGTTAAATCCAAAACCTAGTTTGTAGGTAAAAATAGTAAGTAAAAAAACCGAGGGAAAAGTGGAAAATAACAGCTCGGAAGCGATGGTAATCTAGGCCATGGAGATTCAGAGAAGGTCAAATGGACGATAAGTGCCGTCGTAGCAGTGAATGGTTGAAGAACAAAATGTGAGCTTGTAGAGAAGATTGCGAAGAGGAAGACGAGAATACTGGAAAGGATTTGAAGAACGCATTCGATCTCTGGAAGTGTATGTCGACAGTTTTGGGCAGTCTGAGTAGACCTCGAGAGAAGGGTGCCACTGCTCTCTCTCTTTCCCCTTGTCTCGTGTTGCAACTTGCGAGGAGACAGTGGCCAAGGCTATTTACAAAAATCGACCAGCAAAACATAACCCTTCTAAAATATTCCTGGTAAATTTTTTATTTTCTTAAATGTTTAATCTTTTTATAAACCTGCATGTGAGGCCATGTTTGTAATCGTGTTCTAGAAGTCTCAATTTCATGAAAATATAAATAAAATATCTGAATATTTATCTAAAAATTAGAAAAATTAAAAATCGTAAAAAATATTTAAATTAACAAATAAATATTTTTCTATTTTTAAATTAATTAAAAATAATTAATATTAATATTATGTATATATTGTTGATATTTTTCGTATTTTGTCGATTTTCTTGTACTATAATGAAAATGTCGATTTATTTCTCATGTCGATGTATAACCTATAGAAACGTAGATATATTGATGGAAATATCGACGTGTCGACGGATATTTAGTTACATACTTTCAAGATCAATTATAAATTTTTTTAAATATGAAAAATGAAATATATATATATATATATATATATATATATATAGGTTCGTACTATAAAAGTTTGTTGTAACATTTTAATATTCTCATTATTAAAAAATGAGTTCAGTAATTATTTAAGAGACTCAATTTTGGAAGTTTTTTTTTCTAACAAGTGGGAATTTCATTTGTATACTTAATTAAATATAAGTTCAACTTGTTAAAAAAAATTCTCTTAGTCTTAACAATCAACCTACAACTAATTTATCCTGTAAAAAAAACGTACCACCTAAAATTAGTAGCAAATGGTAAAGCAGTAAAAAGAGTATTATAAAAAGAGAGGACACAAAGGTTGGTTCAATTTTTTAACCTATCCCACCAAATCATGTCTTGCGCCTAAAATAACTGTATTCTTAAATTATGTTGCAATATTTGATCTAACTATTATTTCTATTGAATACTTATAGATATATGTAAATCCATACATTTATTCACATTTTATTGACTTGACTTAACTGAGGCATTTATTACCACGTTTCAAATTTTGTCGTGTCAAATTTTCGTTGGAAGTACGTTCAAAGTATATTTTTAAAATTTGTATGAAATATTGATGGTTCAAAGTATATTTTTAAGATATTTATTAAATGTTGATGGTAACATTGAAATATTTGAAAGAATAGAGGTATCTAGGTATTTTTAAAAGAAAGGATATAGGTTTTATTTTATTTTATTTTATTCTGTATAAAAACCTAAATATTTTTTCTAAAAAGAAAAACCTAAATCTTCGCTCCAAGTCCAACGGGCCTTGGAGCAAAAGGAATTCACCGTCAGAAACGCCTGGGCGAAGGTTGGCCGCACGTAGAAGCAGGTGAGGCCGCGCTCCAGCGATGAATAGCAGCACCAAATTTATGAACGAAGAGGTGAAGACGACGAAGAAGAAAATGGGTAGGGAGAGCGAGATTTTTGCTTCTTGCACTTTCTCTAGCCTCGGTCTGCACTCTACTTTATGCGACCAACTCCAAGGTGTGTTGGGTGCCGACTTTATTCTACTTCCTCCACCGCCTCCATTTGTTATCTGCCTTCTGTTATGCTAATCACCCTAGAACTCTACTTTAGTAGTTTTTGCGAGCCTACCGTCTCCGGTTAATTGCATTGATAATAATATCGGCCTGCATCTTTCGGTGTGGTTTTTTTCTTCGATTGCGACAGAGAAAATGGGATTTGAAGTACCAACCCTTGTACAGGCTCAAGCAATTCGGGCTATCTTGTCCGGGCGTCACGTGTATCCTTTGCGCATAACTATTTTAATTGATATATACGTGCTTGCGCATGCGTGAGTGTTTATATTGATTCTTTCTTTACCATGTAGAAATTCATGAAATGGCGTATCTTTCTTTGATATTTGTAGTGGTTCTGTAGGTTTTCTTAACTTCATTCAATAGCATTGTTAATGCGGCCACGGGTACTGGCAAAACTATTGCGTATTTGGTTCCAATCATCCATCACTTGCAGAAGTCCGGTCGTAGGATTCAGCGGGCTGATGGAACTTTCGGTACGTAATATTAGTAAATATTTTCTCGCTCAGTTCTGCCCCTGCCTACTTACAATTAAAGAAAGGGAAAAGGGAAAAAGAGGAAGCAAAGACCCATTTCTTATTTATTATTCCTCATTTTTTATGAAGAAACTTGTTTTTGTTGTTGAAAAAATGTCTATATAATTTTGAAGATGTTTATAAAAAATGAGAAACCAGAAAAATTAATGGTTTTCAAATGCGTAGGTCTCTTAATAAAATTGAAGACGAAAAAAACGGAACGTTACCAAACGGACCCAAAACGACTCATTTTAGTGCCTTCCCAAAGAAAATTTCTCATAATCCTTTTCAAAATATCTGTAACTTTCTTGGGAGTAATAAAAATTGACGTGAGATAAGTAGGTAGATTTTTAGAATGGATGAGTAAAGAGCCAATCTTCCACCTTTTGACAAAGAAGCCTTTTTCTTTTAGCCAACTCGTAAGTAACCTTGTTATTATCCTCCTCATGTGATCTCCAATTCCATTTAGAAACCAGACCTAATTTATCTACGCTTTTGTATATTTTTCTTTTTATTTTTGAGTTGATAATCTCTAGGTTTTTATATATCCTAGAAAGAATAAAAGAAAAAGAAAAAGAAAAAATGACAGTCTCTAAGCCTCCCGCATTTAAGGAGGGACACCACTTTCGTATTGAACAAGAATCCCTTGCTACCAAGTTAGTCTCGATCTTTTGACAACAATTTAAACCTATCACGAAAGTATTGCTAAGAGATTGATTTTGAGCCGAAGACTCAATGATTTTGTGTATTAATCTTCTTTAATTTTTCATTAACCTAACAAATCAAGATGACATTTTCAAATTGAAGGCGTGTGATGTGAACATAGTTTATTTCCCACAAAAATCTTCAATGATACTGGCTTAAGCCTACGAAACAAATATTCTATTAAAATTAAGAATTTTTGAGCGGAGATGCAACTAATAATTCAATACCTCCAACTGGGATTAAACTTCTCCTTAATAGCATTGGAAAAGTTCCAATCGGCATTGTCATAATTTAATTAAGCTTTCTCCAAGTCTATAATTAATATGCTCTACTTTCAAAGTATCTTTTAAATGTTCACAATTGCTCAATTCATATGGGTGGGTAAGATACCCATTGCCATGTCCATGATCACGGGTTTCATGTCTAAGGGGCTGAAAACTCTTATTCATTGGCAGCTTTATAACTTTCCAAATATTAGTGAAAGATTGTATTTATTTGTCAAAGAAAATAAAAAATAAAAACTTTTATTTGGTGATAATGTTGTTGAACTCGCTCTCTCTCTCTCATCCACACACATACCTCTCTTGTATGTTTGAGTCTTAAGAAATTTTTTTGGCCATAGCGTTGGTTCTTGTACCGACGCGGGAGCTATGCATGCAGGTCTATGAAACTATACAGAAGTTGATACATCGTTATCATTGGATTGTTCCTGGTTACATAACAGGTGGGGAAAGTCGGTCAAAGGAGAAAGCCAGGTTGCGAAAAGGTAGGAGATTCCTTGTTTAAGTTATGGAATTATCATTTCATTGATGTAAGGTAGCTTTGTTATGTGACCATTTACGTGTGTGTGTTATTCCTTTCAAGTTTTAGCATAACAACCTCAAAATTGTAATAACTGGATGGTGATAATTGTTACTAATAAGTATGTTAGTAATGAAATGTTTAAAAACTCTACTATCGTTTTTATCAGGGATATTTAAATTACTAAACAAACAAGATTATTGGACAATATCAACTAGTATTAGCCTACTTGACCCTTGGAGTCATGATTATGGTTGAAAAATTATGGCTAGTGGTCAACAATGGCATGAACATGTCAATAACAAGTTCAACGCCATTGATATCAGTGTTTCCAAGGCGCTCGTGCGCCCATGGAAAATGGGATTGCTAGCATGCCTACCGCGCCTGAGTGATACCTTATAAGGTGCTCGTCTTTGATTATGAAGAGGAAGCATAGGAGGAGGGGAAGGAAGAGCTGAAGAAAAAGAAAAGGAGGGGGAGAAGGAAGTGTCGGAAGAAGAACAAAAAGAAGAATAAAAGTTGTAGAAATAGAGAAAAAAAAAAAGAAGAGTCAAGAAGACTATTATGAATAGTCGAAAGAAGAAGAAGAAGAGTTGGAAGGAAGAATGAAGAGAAGTTGAAAGAAGACAGACCATTAAACTTAAGAAAATTTACACTTTCTATAAGTAGGGTTGCACATAAATGTTGAAAAACTGAGCTGACTGACCAAAATCGACCAAACCAACATTAGTTGGTTGGAGTAGACCGTATTATGGTGGATATTGGTTAGTTGGAGTAGTCGAAAAAGAGATTTTAGACCGACCGACGAACCGATTTGTTGATTTAAGAAAAACGTAGAATATGATGCTTCAGTCTACTAGATGACTTTCTGCCGAGCCATTTCAAGAAATCAGTAGTGGCACTGCTAGTTTCTCAAAACTGCGTATTAGTTTTTTTAAGAAAATATTTGTTTACTATTTGTCTCATCCCCTTCTCTCTTCTCTCATTTTCTCTGTCTCTTCCTTTCCTTCTCACTCTTTTTCCCACCTTCCTTCCCCTCTGGCCTCCTTCACGTTTCATCTATCTATCCTTCCAGCTTTTTTCAAGTGCTTGTCCTTTGTCCATCTACCTCAAAACTCAACTATATTTCTCCCTCTCAGTTTTTTGTCTTCTTCACACGTCGAGTTTGTTTCGTTTCCATTTTTGTCGGAAGCTACTAAGGTTCCTCTCACTCCATCTTCTAAAAAGTGACAACACCAAATAATAGATAGGAGCCATGTATATGACTCACGTTGCACTCACCTACATATTCTTGACTAAGGTTGTTTATTTATCATGAACTCAAAAGAATTTTAAGCTCCCTACTTCAGTGTTTATTCCTTTTTTTTTTTTTGTATGAGAAACAGAATCGTGTATAGAGAAAAATAGGGTAAAAACAACCTAAGGGCCGAGGGATGAGGCAAGCAACCCTCGCCACATAAGAGCTAATGAAGAGCGGCTTTCCAATCATGGATAAGCATAGAAAGACTGTAATTACAAAAAGGCACCAAGTAGAAGTAGTGATCTGTACACAATTACAAAAAGAATCGAAGGATCGAAGCCTATTATTGAAAATGACTATTTCTTTCTTTCCAAATGCACCAAAAAGTGGCTCTAACTGCACAACCCCAAAGGACATTAGCTTTCCATTTGAAAGACCCTTGAAGAACCTCGGTAAGCCAATCTTGACTTATCTAGGCAAGCAGGTAGCCAAATCGATTTTTTTGAGGACAGAAGACAAAATATCACGTGCTGAATAGCAGTGTAAAAAGAGATGATCGATGCTTTTTGAAGCTTGATAACAAAAGCTACACATTGTGGGTGAAATACACCAATTAGGAAGCTTTCTTTGAATAATCTCGTGAGTATTAAGACTTTTATAGGTTAACCTCCACAAAAAAACTGTGACTTTCTTAGGGCAACTGAATTTCCAAATTGGGTTGATCAAAGAAGTTCTAATCTTTGGCGGTCTTTCTGTTAATCTAAGAAAAGAGAGCAAGTGGAGAAAGGCTTCTTCCTTCTATCGAGGGTCCAATGATCTCATCCTCCTGCAACCTTTTCTAAAAGAGTTCAATGCTTCCATTAAAGAAAGCACGCTATTCATTTCAGTATCCCAAATGCCCTTTCTAAAGCTTAAATTCGAGTCACAAGACTTGTTGACCCAACAATCAGCCATCATAGTATCCTTCTTAAGAGAAATACTGTACAAATCTCGAAAATATCTTGCAAAGGAGGAGGCTTTAAAGGTTTGTTTTCCTAAAATCTTTTTGCTTTCGTCTCTTCCAAATGTCCCTGTTAGAGGTGTTCACGAGTTGGGTTGGGTCGGGTTGGGGGTATTTTTGGGACCAACCCGAATTTTCGGGTTGGGAATTTGTGGGAATCGTCGGGTTGTAAAACGATGGCCAACCCAACCCAATAAATTCGAGTTGGGTTGTCGGGTTCTTTTTTTTTTTTTTAATTGATTAATTAATTTACTTTTGTTTTGTTTATAACATGGACCAAAAAATATATAGAAAAATCAAAATCTTAATTTAGCACTAATTCAAATCCTAATTGAAACCAACATGTAAGTCCTAATTTAATACAAATTTTAAAATTTTACATTATCCAAAGTTTATCAAGTCCAAATCCAAATTGAAACCAACATGTAAGCCCTAATTCAACAATATTAAAAGCTTACACCTTATTAGAGAGAAATGGGGGAGAGGAAGATGAAATTGAAAATGTTAGAAAAGAGAGAGAATCAAAGATTCAAAAGGGAGAGGATTGAATTGAAACCTAAAATCAATGGTTTTAATGAAATAGAAAAAAAAAAAACCTTATAATCTCGGGTCGGGTCGGGTTGACTCGGGATTTTCAAGGGTCAACCCGAGACCTGACCCAACCCGGTCGGGTTGGGATTTTTCCAACCCAACCCAACCCAATGTTAGATTCAACCCAACCCAATCCTTATGGGTTTGGGTTGGGTTCGTCGGGTTGTCGGGTTCCTTGAACACCCCTAGTCCCAGTTTCTCAATTTTGGGACTCCACTTCTCGTGCTTGGCATATTGAAACTAGGAGATCCCTAAAAGATGATGAATTTGAAGAGTTTTCAGCGTTTCTAGGCTACTTAGTTTGGCAGTGGTTAGGGAGAAAGCTGATAGCAGACTTTGGTCATTCGAACCTTCTGGAGTATTTTCGGTATCATCTTTATGCAAGCAGCAGTCTTCTTCATCTTTACCTAAGGATTTATTTGGTGCTTTGTGGAAATCTAAAGGTCCAAAGAGAGTAAATGTCTTTACTTGGATTCTCCTCTTTGGCAAAGTTAATACAGTGGATATTCTTCAAAAGAAGAACCCTTCTACGGTGTTTTTTCCTTCCCATTTGCTCTCTGTGTGGCAAGTCTTGTGAGTTCCAGCAACATATTTTCTTTTAGTGCTCTTTTTCGGCTACTTGCTGGAGGCTTTTCTTCGAAATCTTTGAGGTTTCTTGGGTTTTTGATTTTGAAGTCGCAAAGAACGTTCACTCTCTATTGATTGGCCCGTGTCTCGCGTCAAAAGCGGGTTTTCTTTGGTGTCATGGAGTCTTGTTGTCTGATATTTGGTTCGAGAGAAATCAAAGGCTTTTCAAGGGGAAATGTCGAGATTCGGTTGAAGTTTTCCTACTAGCAAAGTTTAAGGCTTCTCAATGGTGTGCTCTTTCCAATGTTATTGTTAATTACTCTCCGAGTATGATTTGTTCTAATTGGGAGGTTTTTATAACTACCCCTTAGCTTTTGTCCTTTTTGCTTTGTTTGTTGTTCTATTTTCCGTTTTGTTTATTTTCTCACTCCTTCGGGGGTTTGTATCATTGAACAATTTTCTGTTCCTTTTCATTAAATCAATGAAAAGTTTGTTTCTTGTTAAAAAAAAAATGTGAATCTTTGAGCCATATGTCTTTCCAAAAGTTGATCCTTTGTCCGTCGACAACTTTGAACCGAACAAACCTGAGAAAAGGAGGCAGCAAATTTTGCAATTTCAAACCAAGGTCTTCCATGGATGCTAGCAATACTACGCCTCCAAAGAGCGGAAGTTTCGGTTGAGAACCTCCAAAGCCACTTGTGAAGAAGACCATCATTTCTTTGCTTAAAGCCACCAATACCGAAACCACCATAGATCTTAGGTAAAGAGGAGGTAGCCCACTTAACTAAGTGTCTCTGTGGATGAGACTCCCCCTCCGCTCCAAAGAAAGGACCGAAACTTTTTCCATCTCTTTCACAACCTTGGCTGGGGCTTTGAACAAAGAAGATGCATAGACAGATAAAGTTTTTAAGACTGAAAGTGCAAGAGTCAATTTTCTTTTTGAACTTATGAACTATCAGATCCCAATAAGAAGCCTTTCCATAGTTTCCTCCTAGAGAAGCTCCCAAGTAATTAGAAGGGAGGCCTTCAGCCTTACAACCAAGAGAACAAGCCCAACTCGTTTGAAGACCCCTGGTTTAGATAAGGAAAAGAGAATGGGTGGGTTGAAAAGAAGCCAAAGTTTCTGCATGAAGTTGGAATCCTTCGTGTGAGGTATCTGGGGATTCGATTGGTTGATAGTCTTCAATGTGTCAAGTTAATCCGTATGGGGATTGACTGCAAACTTGAAGAAAAAATTTCTCACCGAGTTGGAAATTCTTCTTGAATTTGTGTTTTCTTTGTGAAGTTGGAATCCTTCGTGTGAGGTAACTGGGGATTCAATTGGTCGACAGTCTTCAGCGTGGGGATTAACTGCAAACTTGAAGAAAAAATTTCTCCCCGAGTCGGAAATTCTTCTTGAGAAGTGTATTTTCTTTTTGGGAAAGCCCTTGGTGTAGTCCTCTTCTTTGGATAGTACTGAACTATCGACCATCATCTTGAGATTAGTGCTGTTGGAGTTTCTTTAGCAAAGGGAACCTTTTTCTATTTGTGAAAAAAATTTGATGGCTGATATGGATAATGGTTGCATGTTAAGAGTTGGTTGGTTTATAGGGAAGTGAGGAAAGTTTATGGCCTTGCTTTAGTCATTGGAGATTTCATTTTGAAGAAATTGTTGCTAGCTTTGAAGATGTGATTATGCTTTAGCATTGTTGCTATTCATGAGGCTACGTGATGATCAATGTGGTTTTGTTTCTTTTGCTGCTTCAACCATTCAGGCTTTCACCCGTTGATGAAATTCCTTCATACTTTGAGTGGATCCGTTCTTTGATTTTATTTTCTAGCAGTTTTGTGTTGGCCTAGGCAAAAAGGAAGAAAATTCAGTTCTTTGATTTTATTTTCTTTCTTATTTTCAAGTCTTTGAAGTTCGAATCAAAAGGCTGCATTAAAAAAAAAAAGAAGGTTAAAGCAAGAGGAACATAAGAAAAGTCAGAAAGATGAAGAAGAAAATGAATGAGAATGAGAATGAGAGGTAGAAGAAGTGACAAAAAAGGAAGAAGAAGTGAAGTCTAGAAGAAGAAGAATGAAGAAAAAGAAGAAGGAGAAGGAGAAGAGACTAAAGAGAAGAAGTGAGGGCTGCATGGAGTATCTCTCTTCAAATGACAAATTAACTCTTCCAAAAAAAGCTGGCAGTATTTTCTTCATGACTTATGGATGGCAGTATTTCAAAAGCTGTTTTTCAATCTTAGTCATAGCACTGTAAATGTTTTAAAAAATTGTCTCTTACTTTTTTTTTTTCCTGAATCTTTTTCAAGCAATTTTTTATTAAAATATTGAATAAGTTTGTTTTTTCCTATTAAATATTAAATAGTTTTGTTAATATCTTCATGTTTTAATAATCAAGTATTTAATTTTTTTTTAACAACAATAGTTATAGATAATAACTATTTTCACCTTCATGAAATTATTAAATTTCACTATTATTTTTTTAACAAGAAACAAACTTTTCACTGATAATATGAAAAGGAAGAAAAAAGTTCAAGGATACAAGTTCCAAAAGGAAGCGAAAAAGGAATAGAAAAACAATCAAAACATAGAAACCAAAAACCTATGAAATAGATGAGATCTGAAGTCCAAGAACAGATGCTGAAAAATTGTCATCAATAAAGCTTGCCACTGACTGCTGAGGAGGAAACCAAAACAATCACTTAACACAAACTGATCGCCAAAATGAAGAAGTAAAGAATCTGAAACCTCCCTCCACCAAGAGAAGATACGAAAAATATAATATCTCAACTCTCGAAACTGCTGTAAAGCGGAACCAACCAAAAACCTGTTGCCCATAATTAAGCCTACCTATTCAGTGATTGGAACTAGGGTAAGGCCTACATCTTCAAAATATTTAAAAAAAACTTTGATTATCTGTGCAAGAAGTTTTTCAACTACCAAAGGCTGCTCTCGAGAAGGAGAAAAATGGTATCTATTTTTGCAGAAGAGCGTAATTGGTCGTTATCCTCTGCAAAAAGTAAATTAAAATCCTTTACTAGGGAAACCTATGATAAATCTTCAATAACAACCTCTTGCTCTTCCAAAAATTTTGCTGAATCCTCACTATTGACACTAACATGGAATTCTTCTTCATCATCAGACAAAACATTATCATTGATAAGAATAGTTGACTGCTCACTTGTTGAATTAATGATACCATGAATTAATGATACCATGGCTGAGAGGTGAACCGTCCTTCTGGAATTCTCCATTTTCCTTTATTAACCTTGGTAAGTCATTTTTTTTTCTTGAATAAAAAATGGCAGGGGAGGAATAAAAATCCTAGGCGGCAATAAATCAGGGTTAAAACTAGGGCTGCTAACAACCAGATCGTTTGTCTTGGTTACCTTAACACCTTCAGGTTGAGATTCTTTTCTTAGTTCATTTCCTTGATTAGACAAAAATTTTGGCGAAATGTTTTCCAAAATAGGAAGAAAATTTGGGCTGCCCATTGAATTTTCAGAGAAAACTTCATATTCATCTTTTCTTTTATCGAATAAAAGCCCTTGAGGAGGCTCTTCATTTTGACAATAGCAAATGAAGCCTTTGAACATTTAGTACATTTGAAGATCTTGCAACCAACATCTTACTGGAGATCAAACTCTGTTTTTTCTCATAACTCTCAACCTCCTTCACGCGAACTACAATGCTGCCAAACTGTGTGTTAATTTCTATTGATGCCGGTAAGAAACCCCACGAGTTCTCTTCCACATGAATCAGAGCTTCTGAGCAATCCAAGAGTTTTAAGGTTTTGTAGGAAATCTTCTTTAAACCACCAAGTTGAACTCCGATTTCTTTAAAGAATTGCTTATTCCTTAAATTACAAATATTTGCCCAACCTCCAAAGCATTCCACCACTTCCTTCTTGGTGTGGTCTTTAGAGCTCCATCTCTCTAGCTTTAAATGAAACTCTTCTACCTTTCGCCACGAGCCATTAACCCACTTTGAGTTCAACAATCTTCCATCCTCAAACTTTAAAAGCCTTCTATATGCCAAGAACAGGTCAATATGACAGTCTTGAGAGAACTTTTCTTTTAGAGCCACATCTATATCCTTCCAACTGTCTAAGGCACTAAATTTCGTGACGACCATCATGTTGTCCCAATCTATCTCCAAGGACCTTTAGAATGAACCTCCTTATTCTCCATCAATAAAGTGTCCCTCCTACATTGAATAGTAACTTACCTTTTAGGGTTTCAGAGTGAGAAGGCCCAAAAATACCTTGCTGATGTCCTTTCATAGCATAATGAATCAAACAAACCTTCAGCATATCCCAAAAGGCTAACCAACCAGTTTTCCTTGGTCCCGCAGAAATAACAAGCTTTATTCTTCCCTCAATTGAAGGCCAAACCACGCATTCGATCTACTTTGGTTGACTCTGAATTTCCTCAATCTACAAGTACCGGATTCAATTCTTTCATGTGCAAAGAAGTATTCATGCTCTGGTAATTGCAGTAATTCAACCAACCGATTTTCAAACCAAGATAAATGGTCAAATTTCAAAGGCAACATCTCTCTGCGACAATATCTTCAATATTAAAGCACTCATCTTCAACCCAAATGCAGAAAAGGCTATTCTCAACACAGTAACTGTATTCCATGTAAAAAAGCACTAAGCTGGACTGTGCTGAATCTTGGCCGCGGAACCCTAGGCACTGAACCCTTGTCAACAACGGCGAGCAACAGTGATGGAAGCCCTAGTTATTGGCAGCGGTCTCTGTAACTAAACCCTAGTCAGCGGACGGCGGAGAAGAGTGACGACGAACCCTAGCGGCGGCGCTAGGAAACGACAGAGAAGCGCGACGGCAGACGACAGAGTTTGGGTTGTGACAGAGCACGACAACAAACCCTAGCGCGACCAACGAAAATGAGCTGCTCACGAAGGATGTTGGACAAGAAAACCCGAGCGGCGGACGGCGTGAAGACTTAGAGTGGCGGGCGGCGGGTCATGGCCGACGGCTAGGGTTAGGGAAAGGGTTTGGAGAGAGCGAGGCCATGGTCCCCATTTTTCCTAATCCAACCGAGATAGACATTTATTAAATTTTATTTTTTTAATACCTTATCAGCTTTCGCTGGTTTGGAATATGGTCACACTAGTAATTTCAAACCCTTAGCAATTTTCCAAGATTAATGTGAGACAAAATAACTGATAGTGCTAAATTTTTGCAATAAGCTTACATGAAAGTTGATTTTTTTATCCGTGCCCCCACACCCCCCAAAAGAAAAAAAAAGAACTTATTGTGCTGATTTTGATTAGCTCTTATTTCCTGAAGTTTCAAACATTCATAATTGTTCATTTTACATTTTATCCCCCAAAGGTTAAGGGCTTGGGATGTTTTGAGATGCTCCTCAAGTCCTAGGTCAAGCCCCTAGGTCGAAAACTTAATAATTTGGAACTCTTGTTATCTTTTCGATGTTGGCTTTGGGGTGGGTGAAGCCTCCCGGGGATTAGTGGAGAGTGGGCTTGTGACGTCGAGGTTATAATAAATGAAATTAAGATTCTGACCTTGTTTTTTGCCGTCGCTACTTTTCTTCAAATAATATGTGAATTGGAATTTAAGTTTTGAGTTTGTCGGGTTGTTCTGATGCAACCAACTTGTTTTATAAAACAATAATCAAGTCAAGATACACCCTTCCTTTCATGAACTGTTCTTCTGCTTTGACTAATGTGCCAAATTTTCATGGTCTGTGCTCAGGTATATCAATTTTAGTTGCAACACCAGGTCGGCTCTTGGATCACTTAAAGAATACATCATCGTTTTTGTACTCTAATTTGCACTGGATAGTTTTTGATGAAGCAGATAGGTATGGCTATTCTCTGATTTGCGGCACAATGCATTCTGAATTAGTCATTTTCTTTTTCACCCTTTTACTTGAAACTTATGCTTCTGTACAGAATTTTCGAATTAGGATGTGGCAAAGAAGTTGAGGAAATACTGGATCATCTGGGCTCAAGGAAGAATATTTATGTCAACAAGGAGGATGCAGCTTCAAATTTTGATTTCCCGCGGCAGAATTTGCTTTTATCAGCCACCCTAAATGAAAATATAAATCGTTTTGCCAAAATTAGTTTAGAGAATCCTATTGTGATTGGTCTTGATGGTGGCAACGATGCCCTTGAATTTCAACCATTTGAACGTGGTCGATTTTTGAGACATGACATAACTGATGAAGCCGAGCCAACAGGAAAGAGAGAGAGCTTTTCAATTGGAGATTATAAAATTCCAACCCAGTTAGTTCAGAGTTACGTGCAAGGTAATTTGATTGAAGTTCTATTTAATGAACTTCCACAATATATTCATGAGTACAAAGGGTTAGATCCATGCTTTTTTTGGATAAGAAGGGGTTAGATCCATGCTACTCATACATTGAATTAAATATTCAGTGCATCCCTTTGTACTTTTGTTTCTACTTTGGCTCAGACCATTTGTTTTTGTTTGGCCCCTTTTGTTGTTTTGCCCTTCTATTCATGCATCATGTAACGTATAAATTTGTGATTAAATTTTTCATTGCAGTGCCATGTGGTTCTCGGTTACCTGTGCTTTTTTCTGTCTTGAAGTATTTGTTTGAGGGAGAATCCTTTGAGAAGGTAAAGACGACGATACTTGTGTTTGTGTGGAAGTTTTAGTATTATCACTCATAAAAAAGGTTTTAGTTTTATCACCTTCTGCATAGCTATAGAATAAAGCATACAAATACAATAAAACTCATGTTGCTCTCTATACCACTCTAAGAGACTCTAAAGGTGGAACCCCACCTTGAGGCTAGAGGCGAGATGGTCGGTGACTAACGGCTAGTTTAAGTTGTTAGTTAGTTAGCAACCAATGGCTAGTTTTAGTTTAAAAAATTTTTTGACGTTCTTGATCCAATCCAATAATCTCTAAATTGACTGGCATCCTAGCCCTTACAAGGCTGTAACAATCAGTGGAAAAATTGATCTCGAGGGATTATTGGATTGGATCAAGAACGTCAAAATTTATTTTGATGACATGAATAATCCGAAAGATAAGAAGGTCAAAGGTCAAGCTCGCTGCTCTGAAAGCTAGGGCTGGAGCTTTGGCTTGGTGGGAACAACTTCAAGTAAATTGAAGGAGATTTGGTTGGAGACCCATTCGAAGCTAGCCATATATGTTACATTCGATGAAAGATCATTTGTTGCTCGCAAATTATGAGCAATTACTCTTATTTCCAATATCCACATTGCCGCCAAGGAAGTAAATCTATAGCTGATTATACGGAAGAATTCCATTGGTTGAGTGCTCGTAAGATTTGTAGATAGTTTATAAGAAGATATTTAAGATTAAGTGGATCTCCAACCTATCAGCTATTTTTGGAAGCCAACTCATGAATATATTGTGGAAGTTCATTAAAGCCAACTCGCAAATAAGATTGAGAAGAAAATCGAAAGAAGACAACTTGCTCACAGTCACAAACGCATTGCTTGGGACAAACAACCATGCAGAAACAGTGGTGACACCACAAGAAATTTCCAGCAAGGAAGTACGTCTAATTCAACCTATCCACAAGTTAAGGATACTCCATCTTCACGACAAAATCAGGGCGTTAAGATCCAAGATGGACAAATGGCCAAGAAAATACGAACCAGTATAATAGGCCTAACTTGGAAAAGTGCTTTTGATGTGGGAAGGTAGGATTCCTTTCAAATGAATGTCCACAAAGAAAGGCAGTAGCCCTTCTTGATGAGGAGGAATTTGAAGATCAATAAATGAGGAAGATGGGTATAATGTAGCCTACATCGAACCCGATGAAAGAGATCAACTTTCTTGTGTTCTTTAACAAGTTTTATTGACTCCCAAAACCGAGACTCACCCACAAAGACACAATTTGTTCAGAACTCACTGGACCATTAATTGAAGTGTTTGTAATGTTATTATTGATGGTGGAAGTAGGAAAAGTATAGTTTCAAAGAAACTTGTGTTTGCACAATCTCTAGATTGACTGGCATCCTAGCCCTTGCAAGGTTATAGAAATCTCAACTCTTTACAATCATCCAAGGACAAAAGTTCGAGGATAGGACTGACAGTATGAGATGGGCACTCGTAAGTAAAGGAGACATGGAAACACGGCCATTGATCACGAAAAAGGAGATGTTTCCTTATTGCTCAGTGAATATAAAGATCTTCTCAACACTCTGAAGGATTTACCACCTCTCCTAGATATACAACACCACCTCCTCCTCTCCTGATCGCCATGAAAGACTAGGATTGCTCCGGCTGCTCCATAGCCATTGAAAAAAAGACTTTCATCACAGCTGTCGATGAACTATTCAAAGGATCTAGAGCCAGGATTTTAGAAGCTAGAAGGAATTATATTTGCTCCCTTTCTTTAACTTGGTGCTCCTTAGCCTGGATGGTCGACACTTCCAACTCCTTCCTCGACACGTTGCTGACCCAAAAATTCTTCAAAGAACACAAAAATGACAATTATGTTATTTAGGTAGAGAACCTCAACAACAAGAGAGGCTACCTCGTAGAGATCAACAAATTGGACAACAATAGAACAAAGAATCGTCTCATGCTACCCTCAGGTGCCGACAAAGTTGGCTGGTCTTCTGCCCTTGCCCTTATCAAAGGATACCTAGATACGAAGAATATACCTCAAACTATAGAGACCCAACCCCTTCCCTTTTATAAAAACCAGTCGATAAACTCCAAAACCAACCCTCACGAAACCAATCCATTGGTTCGAGGGTGCTTTGGTGGATTGTTTGCACCTTCCCCTTCAGTCAAGGTTCATAAAGCAAGCCAGGGATGACCATGAAACTTGTTGTAGTCAAAGATACACTCAATGGATGAATTTCTCAATGACATCTCAAAAGCCTTTAGCCCTTAGATACATTTCCTCCACCATAGTCCCCCAATCTCTATGACAAACCCAAGAAACCTCGAAGGTCTGAAAGAACCAGCCCCAAATATTCAGGGAGACTTGGCAATGCCATAAGATGTGATCGAGATCCTCAGAATCTCGCTTACAAAGAATACAGCATTGCGGCCCCAAGTAGGAAGGAGAGCGCTTCTGAATACAATTCAGGGTGTTGACTTTCCCAAGTAAGACATGCCACACAGTGTTTTAAAAAGTGTGCGCCTTAGCACGCCTATGCGAGGTGAAATGAAGGAGCTGCGATTTAAGCGTGTGCCTCTATTGAAGCCCAGAAGCGCAGAGCACAAGCTCTGTGCTTTGCGAGCTTTTGGAGAAAAAGAAATAAAAAGCAAAAAACCTAAACCCTAAACGTAGAAACCCTTGTGTTTAGGGTTTTTTTTTTTCTTTCTAATTTTGGGCTGCCGACAAGCATTAATTTTGTAATTATATATATATAAAATAAAACTAATAACCCTAAACGCATAAACCTTTGCGTTTAGGGTTTTTTTAAATTTCTATTGCTGCTAGCCTGTAAATGGGCCAAAAGCCCAGAATCTGTTATTATTAGGGAATATTTTTACATTTTGATTCTTTCCCTCCAATTAAGATTCACAAATCACGTCCTTTCCTTTCCTATTCTTCTATTCCTTCTTCCTCATGGAATCAATCTGCTCTCCACAATTTCTACACAGCAAGTAGCAGCTACACTACAATCTCCAATCTTCATCTTTATGATTCTTCTACCGCAACCAATTTCGTGTAATTCTTTCACAACAACCAATTTCTACGCCACATATTTTTATGTATTTTTATATATAGTGCGCCTCGCGTTTAGGCTCCAGACGACTATTGCACTTTAGTGTGCCTCAAGCTTTTAAAAACACTTCTGCCACACGAAAAACTTAATCTTCTTCGGAATTTTCACCTTCCACAGCGAGACAAACACTGGGGTCGTAGAGGGAGAATTAGGGGAACATAAAAGTTTAAAGAAGGAGCTAAAGGAGAAATCCCTAGACGGATTAGAGGACCAAGCACGAAAGTCCTTCCTATCACGAAAGAAAGAAACATCAGAAAGCAGATGGATCAACTCAGCTGCTTCCTAGCCTCTCTGTCAGTTAAAGACTGAGGCCCAAGGAAATAGACAACCCTTCCCCCTAGTCCTCAGCACCGAGGCCATCGGAAGCAAGCTTCTATCCGATAAGCAAAAAAGGTGAGGAAGTAACGAACACGGAGGCTTTTCTCCCACCTAAAGGTCCTCCAAAAAATAAGTGTAATGACC